TACGTCCATCTTTTATACAGTCTATGGTTGGAAGTTGTTGGAAGATGAATCTTTCTGAAGTTGTATGAAAAACAGTTTGTAGACATTGCAAAAATGTAAACAGTCCCAGTCAAACAGCCAATTTCTAGCATGTGGAGAGCTGATTTATTCCAAAGCAGAGAACTCTTTCCTCTCAATTGGTGTCTGATGATGATAAAATGAAGAAAAACAGAAAACAGTGCTCATGCAGGCAAAACCGCATGAACGTAAGTGACTGTACCGACCGCAAAAAACAGAAAACAAACACGGCCCTCTTCATCTCCGCTTTAGGATGAAAATGATCTCATAAAGTTTGTTGGTCTGAAGGCGGCCTTAAATTGGCTTCTGTGCCCACTGTAGTGTGAAAACTCAGACTTCTCTAATGACCAATAAAAACATTTGGGGAGCCTCAAAATGAATTAATGCACAGTCGGTGTGTTCAGTTAACACAAACTTTTTTTTTTGCAGAATAAACTCCAGTCTCTAAAAAAAAACCCAAAAAGCTCCATGAAGATAAAGTGCCGCTGTGGGACCATCAGCAGCAGGTCGAGAGACGAGACTTGTCCATCACTCAGTTAATCTGGGACCAGGTTTTCCAAAATGAGAGCCGAACGAACTCATCGATCCGTAAGAGTCTGTGAACTAAAGGTCACGAGACTGAAGCGGTCCTTCATTCTGTCGTTGTGGCAGGAAGTTAACCTTGATTACTCTCTGGGTCCTTCGCTACAGCAGAAATAAGGTTTCAGTCTGCTGCTGGAAGCAACAAATGCTCAGGAAGTGGCTGTTACATGATACTAGATTACACATTTCAGTCTCTTCCTTCCATCACTTCTCATATCAACTCTCCGATCCCCTCAGCCAGACCTCGGTTATTTGCAAACGGAATACGAACTGACAATATTTGTGCAAGTTTTACACCAATCATAATAGCTTCTATCACAAACATAATGTCTATTTACTGATGAGGGGGAGCCAGCAAATTGATCCTCTCTGGCCAAATTAAATTCCACTGTCTGGATGTGCAATTTCTCTCTCCAGTGGGAAACAATAAATTGCAAATAGGAGCTTTATGGTGAAATGCTAAATGGGATTCTTGACTGTTGACGCTTCGACGAGGGGATCGTCGCTCAAACTGCGAGCAAAATGTCGCAATATGCAGTTAGCGATGAATAATTTGAAATACTGCACATTAAACTCAGGCGGTGCCATTTCAAACTGCTTAATTCAGAATACAGCATCTGCAGATTGCCTTTAACACACATGGACGCAGACATTATGCATTCACCGAGATGTAGAGTGTGTTCAAGTTCAGACATGCTCTCATGTCACAGTCATTTTCATTCATCTTTCATTGATGGCACCATTAAGGATATGATCATTTAGTCATTTAGAAATTAACATGAGCACCATCTACTTCTGTTCAAAGTCATTCCCGGATCAAAACTGTTCATACTATTTAAGCCGTGGCAGGAAGAAATCTGAAAAAGGCAAAAAAAAAAATAAAAAAAAATAATGATACCCTGCTTTATTGTCTATTTTATTCTAAATCAGACGATAAGTTCCGAAATGAACATGATGCTGTAAAGAATAAAGTCTTCAAACTAGCAAACCTTAAACTTGTTAGGAAAATGTTTACTGATTTAACGAACCAAGAGAGAAGTAGGTTTATTTTCTCATAGACTTCTATACAGTCTGATTTCTTTTTCGACCAGGGGAGTCGCCCCCTGCTGGCTGTTAGATTGACTGCAGGTTGAGGCTGTATGTAGTGCGTAAAAGTAAAAGCCAATTTGCATTTATGGCTTCACCTTTGACTCGCAGGACTCTAGTTTCCTATCTAATTGAATTACAAAACGCTGAAAGACTAGTATGGAATTATTTTTTCAGTGATGCAAAATACATTGCATACGTTTAAAACTCTTAGTGCTTTAATTTTCTGTAAAATATAGCGTAACTTTTGAGAGCAAGCTAATTATTTTAAGCCAAACACCTCTGTGGTGCACACTACTGATGCATGCTAGTGAGAAAACAACTAAACAGATCGCTAATGTAGTCTGAGCCGCTAATTTGGCCTGTTTAGCTACATGATTGATGGAATGATGAGCAGATTTATAAATGGCTCAGAAACCATTGGAAAATGCTGCTAATATTTACAGAATATGCCTGAGAATCATCACATTTAGATCCATTGCTGCCTTGTACATACTAGCTGATAATCGCTAATTATTTTTAATTATTTATTTTTAATTAGCTAATTCACTTTTAATGGTGGCAAAATGTAAACCAAAAAATAAAAAATAAAATTGTAGCCTAAAGCTAACCAGCTAGCTAACAATAACACTTTACTTCATCTCTGTTATAGCTCCAAAACGTAGAGCTTGATGTAATCAGCTTCTTTTTTATTACTAAATTATGAATCCCAAACCATAACTGATGCTGATGAGTTTGTGCAGTTAGCCAGCACACGAGCAAATACAGGTACCTGAATGTTATGTGTGCTTCATGCTAACAGCAACCAGTTGAACACCACAACAAAGAACAATCACTTCAGAAAATCTGCACAAATCAGAGCTGCAAATTGCAAAACCAAAATTTCACAGTTACACACTGAATAAGTTGCAGTCTGGGCTCCAAATAGCATTTTCATTTCACGTGGAGGGCTGTATTATTTATTTGTACTGCTTCAAAAAAGAAAAAAAAAAAAGGCTAAAATGCCTGATTTTTAAAGTAAAAACAAATCTGAGTTCTAAATAACGAAGATGGACACGAAGCTGAAAACATTGACTCCATTTTCTCCGACTCACCCCTTCTCTCTTGTCTCTCTCCAGCGCTCCGTGCATGAACTCCATCGACACTTCCTCGTTCTCGGCCAGCCAGGCGAGGACGAACTGGAGAAACCATCTGGAACAATAGCGAGACACAACTCAGCGAGGCTTCACCCGGCAAACCTCAAACGTTCATACACAAAACATGAGGGAAGCTACTGCATGTGATGCTTTTATTTTTTTGTCTTTTTAAATGAGCGTCGCTCCAACGGAGGGAGAAAAAAAGAATCTTTTATTGCAGAATTCTTTCAGATTCAGAAGTGTTTTTTTTTTTCTCTCTCTCTCTCTTTCAAAACATCTTTCAGAAATCCTTTGATTAATTCTGCAGTTCTGATGTATCTGGTCTGTTTCATTCTGTACTCTGTTAAACATTTTGCTCTTTTAATTTGTGTGTGGAACAACTTGTATTATAGTACAGAAAGGTGTCAACAAAAGGTGCTATTCATAAGATTATCCTGTCGTCTTTATTTCTAGTGCAAACCCTGAAAGAAGTGTCTGAGTGTCAGTAAGTGTTTGTGCAGTAACAAGGCAAAATCCCATTGAAAAGACGAAAATCAATGAAGAGCTTCGCTTTTGTCCCGGAGAAGCAGGGATTATGGGAAATAATGAACAAGAAGAAAAGCTTGCGTCTTACGCGGGATACTCAGGGACGGCGTCTGTGAAGGCTGGCAGGTCCTTAACGTACTCGTTGTACAGCCACTTGACCTTGAAGTGCAGGTTCATGTAGTCGGCCGTCTTACAGAGCTTATGCTTCTCATGTTCTGTAGGAAAAAATTTTAAAAACAACCACACAGAAATAAATAAACAGGTTTGCGATGTCTTGGTGAAGGTTTTGAAACTATACGAGGTGTGTCAGAAAAGTTTCAGGACTGGTGACACAAAAGATATCATTCAAATCCAAGCTACAAGTTTTCCTCTTCAAACTAATCCTCCTGGAGTCTAACCCACTTTCCCAGCCTTTTCTGCCGCCATGTACTCCTGGAAGGATTCTTCCGGGATCCTCCGCAGCTCCGTCGTCACAGCCATCTTGATGTCATCCACGTCTTCATAACGGGTCCCCTTGATGACCCCCTTGAGCTTGGGGAAGAGGAAACAATCCCACAGAGCCAGGTGGGGTGAGTAGGGAGGTTGCTCCAGCACGGAGATGTTTTTCTCAGCCAGGAACTGTGGGATACTCAGGGCGTTGTGAGCATGTGCGTTGTCATGGTGAAGCAGCCAAGACTTGTCCTGCCACAACTCTTGCCTCTTCTGAACGAAGCAAACACAGCAGGATCTCTTTGTAGACGTGCTGGTTGATCGTCTGAAGGGGAAAACTGGTAGTTTGTAGTTTGGGTTTGACATGTATCTTCTGTGACACCAGTCCTGGAACCTTTCTGACACACCTCGTAAATCTAATGTTCAGACCTGTGGACCTTTTCATAATCACCATGAAAAGGTAGTAAGTTGATCTGACTACAAAGCAAGATTAATGGATTAATGGATTAGTAGGTATGTTGAGCTTAAAGACGTCCCTTTTAACCTGCTAGATCACCATGGCAACTGATGCTGCAAATTGGCCGTAAGAAGCGTCTCCTTCTCAACATTTCTCAACAGATTCTCAGCAAACCTGTTGAGCTGTATGTTGATAATAAAACTGAACAAGTTGTGCAGGTGCTGTAGAACAAACTGTATGTGTTGTGTTGCCACGGGAACCCACATGTATTCAGCTGGTGATGCAGAAAATGCATAAATATGTTTTTATGCTCAGTGATTTCCCTCCAAGTTTGTTTTACACAGCTGGTTCTGCAGCTGATCGAGCACAGACTAGAAACAAATGCATTATTCTATTGGAATACTCAATCAATAACCTTATTTTCACTTTGATGTGGCCAAAAACACAAGTGTTCTCCATGTATTATGGAACCGTGTCAGACCTGAATGTTGGTCAATATCATGTTTAAAGATATGAAGTTCAAACTTTAAGAGCTTTATTGAGCAGCTGCTTTGAGAATGCATTCAGTGTTTACATAGTTAGAATAATTTACACTATTAATAGCTAGTTTCTTATCATATATCTCTCTTCTCTTGTTTGCAGTATCAGCACTTTTTCCTTAATATTTCTTCTTAGTATTTTTCATAGCTAGCCATTATAACCAACCCGTTCCTCTTGATAGAAGCTGACGTAGTAATCGGTGAGTTTTGTGCAGAAACAAAGTCAAATCACTCGTCAAACTGCCCCTTTAACATGAACACGCTCAGAGCCTGATGAGTAAAACCTGCTTCCACACAGAAAGCTGTTAACTACCATCATTATCTCCGACTGGGGTTTTAGGTTTTGTTGAGCCGGCTAACTAAAAGAAAGTCTGACTATGTTAAACTAAAAGAGCAGCTGACCAACATATCTACTGATTATCTGCCTCTTCCTGAAATGTCTGCAGACAAAGAACCTCATTATTCCTTCAGTTTTTTATCAAACTCCGATCAGAGATGCGACAGTTATTAAGAATAACATCAGCACAGGACTCAGATGCCTCAACCTTCCAAGTTTTCATTACTTTCCAGGTGGAGTTACACAAGATATTAATTAAGTAATGGATGCACAGGGCAATAAACAAATTAACAAAGAGCAGCCTGTCCTTTGCACGCCCCCTTTAAACTGAGTGTGGGAGTTAATAGTATTAAAAATGGAAAAGTTTCTCAACACTTCTGCGGAGTTACACACAAAATACACAGTTGGAAAAAACAGCAACTTGCTTGAACTAGTTCTAACTTTAAAAACGCTTCAACACAGTGATGATTCTGCACGGGGGTTTTCATCGAGATCCAATCAGAGCTGTTTGTGAAGCAACAAACAGAAAATACGAATGAAAGATCCCCACACTAATTTAAGTACAGGCTTTAATTAGAAGATATAAAGAAGCAGCAGTAAACAGCGGAAGAGTCGATGCTGCAGTCCACAGAGGTTCCAGTCGCAACAACAACAAAATATTTCTGTTTTTTTGTAGCACAGAAAAGCACAACGAAAGGAAAGATAATAGTGTAATTTAAAGAGTTTTTTTTTTTTAAGGTTTAAATTAATGTTTCATATTCAGGTCCTACAAAAGTAACTGTAAATAAAAAATGATTCAATCTGAAATAACTTGTAGATGACCTCTTTTAGCTCCGAGTTTGGTCCCTACCAAGAGAAATATCAGCGTCTGGATGCTGTTTAGTGCAGAGCAGGTAGTTTACAGAAGGTTTTTAGAGTCTTTTTTGGGCACAAAACAGCTGCCTGCTTTGTCTGAAAACACACTATGGTGATGGAAACAGTGGAACAGTGATGTCAAACAGCTAAACAATGAGCTGTAAAGCTTTTCAAAGTCAAGAGGATCTGCAGAATCAGGTGATAATTGCTTCTTGTAACCTCTTTCACACTGTTTTTAGAGTTTAATTTGATATATTTATAGTAGAAAATACAGAAAATAGATGGAGACTTTCGAAAGAGTGTCAAAAAAGGCTGATTTTCTTATTAACAAATTTTTAAAAAATCCTTTAGCTCAAAGGGTTTCAATGCCTCAGCTGCAGAACAACATCAAGTTATGGCTCATTTTTAAACAGATGAAGAAGAACATAGATAATAAACCCACTTTACAGATTATTATGGGTAATATTTATGGTGATTGGCTGCATTTTCGAATCTCAGGCCACCAAAGATGTGTTGCTGGGAGAATCATCTGTATTTTATTTTATTTTCTACACATTCGTAGGTATACGAACCAAATAACATGTCAGGTCTCTAGTTTTGGTTTAATGCTGCCCGGCTCTTTTTCTCCATTATCGTCTCATTTCTAGAAATTCAGCATAACTGGTACTGACATAACGCCTGAAGCAAAAGCTACATGATTCATGAACAAGCATGTGAACACGCCGACAGAATAATGTTCTAACTTCACGGCTGTAATGACAGAAAAGTGGTCCGTGATGCAAAACCCGCTACAGATGACATAGAAACACACACTCGTCTGGCGCGCGTGCGCACACACACACACACACACACACACACACACACACGTCTTACCGGCGTAGAAGTCAATTCTGCGGATGCGAAATGTGGCGGGAGCTGAGATGGCAACAGAATGACGATGCAGACGATGAGAATTCAGGCAAAAAGAGAAGCAGGTTTGTTGCAGGAATGAATGAGATGAGAATGGATTCAGAAACGAAAAAGAAAAAACTGTTCAAAGATGAAAACTAGAGGAGCTTGAAGATGGACTAAACATAAGAAAATTATCTAGAAATCGGTCTCCTGAGGGATTTGTTCTAACGCTTAATCATCTAAAATAGGGTTACAAGGGTTACAGTCGACTAGTTTTGACAGTTTCTACTAAGAGACACAGTCAAAAGCCAGAATACTGAGCAGCTAAGTGGGTTTCAAATTAGACAAACGAACCCTCTGCTGACGATGACTCACTAAACTGAAGCAGCTGTTAGTGCTTTTATTCTGAAAAGGCCTCAGCGCATGAGTGCGTACATTCGTAAAGTAGAATAGAGAGAATTTCACTCATTTCAAAATCTAAATAATCCACCAACTTCCAGCTAGTTAGAAACTTGAATCTGCTTCCTACAATTTAATTTAGCACCAAATTTAGGAACAGTTTGTACTGGATGGGCAAAGGTTCCTACAGAACTGTTTGATGCTGCAGATCAAAGAAGATCAAAACTTTAGAATAAAAAGAAACATAAGAGGCAGCGTAGCACTTTTTGTTAGATTACAGCTCTCTGACTGTGTCTTTCCATCAGCTACATCATGTTTAGGCGACAATCTCACCGTTTTTAAAGCGGTAGTGGTCGATTTTATCCAAAACTGGAGGAGACAAAGGAAATAAAGAGCGTTTGTGGAGTGAAAAAAAGAAAAGAAAAGTGATTGTAGATGGGACGAAAGAGGCAGCAAGACTTTCTTTCACTCTCTCAACACAAACTCAGATATACACAAACTGTACAGACACACAGTCTTACCCTCCAGGGCGTATTTCATGTCCTGAGCGAAGAGCATCCACATGACCTCGGCGCTGACTTTACCCACGTTGAGCTCCTGAGGAAACCTGAAAGACACGCAGCAGAAGCTTCAGCTAGTCTGCTAGAGGTTGGGCCTGCATGTTAATATTCTCTTTAATATGCTAACTGAGCTCTTTGTGCATGTACAATTAGAAGGAGAACACTTGAAGTGAATATCTTTCAGTAAGTTTAACAGCACCCAGTATGTCATTTTTGCACGACTTTAAGCCGTTATGTTTTTGTATATGTTTGGCAATGTGCAATATTCAGAAGTGCAACATAAGAAAAAATAAGCTATCCTGCTGTTTTTTCTTACAAGTTGTTAATATTTTCTAATTAAACTTAATAATTAAAATGTTGTCTGATTGTGTGAATGCACTGATGTGATTGCTGCTTGCACAGTGACAATAAAGGAGTTCTATACATACACAAATATGTTATCAGCCTACTGCTACAGCGGCAATGGCATTAAAAGTGCTGTATGCACGAGTGCCAACAACAAATTATCCAGCAACAACCATTTTAAGCATTGTAAAGTAAAGTACAGTAGCCGTACTAATTTGCTGTTGACTCGAGTAACATTATCTTTTCTACATTTGTCTCTGCTTCCCTGATCTGTTAGACCACATAGGTGTATATATATATGCAGAGTTCATTTGCAAAATCAGATAACTCCATCTTCACAAACCTTCAGAAAACCCACTTTTCCATCGTCCACCTGAGACAATATCAATCAAATGTAAGTCATCTCTATCTTTGTCATGTCATTTCTGCTGAGTCAGATCCACTCGACTTCAGTTTGATTGATATTAACTCAAGTAAACAACAAAAAAATCAGTTTTCTGAAAATCTACAAAAATAAAGTTATCTGTGTTTGCAAATGAACTCTTCATATATGGACTAGAGTAACTCATCTCTGAAACCAGACACACAAAGACCAGAATGGAGCTGCCATGAGTGGAAAAAAACTGCAGAAGAGACTCTCATATGTTGCTTAAATGAAACTGAAATTAGACAAAAAAAACTTCCATAAAACACCAGTGTTTTTTAATTTGGCGGATTTTGGAGGCACCTATGTATTCTGCACTGCACTTTCAGTTGTTCGATGCGGCGTAGGTAGTCATTTTTGGACATTTTCAAAGCATCTCGACAGCCAACTATTTCAAAGGGAGGGACTCACATGCACTAACATGCTAATGTGGCTGAACCAGTTGCCAAAATGTACAACAGAGAGGCTCGAATCACACACAGAGAAAGACTTTGTTGTCTGGTAAGGACGCCATTACTCTGCTATATTTACAAAAGCTATGGTAGTGTTCAAAACAGAACAAACTGCCAACATGTTTTGTCGCTAACTGTAGAATAACTAAGGCAAGGGAAACTTTTGATTCGCTGCCATCATCTGAGCTTCCTTATACAATAAGTGTATGGCCGCTCTGTTGCCATTACTGTGTACATATGCGTGTGAAAAGGTAAATGAAAGACACGTCTGAATACCACTAAGCTAGAAAAGTGCCACTTAAATAAAGAAGGTCAAAGCCTTGTGTGCTGCAAAAGGAGGCTGCTGCAAAACATTTTTCTCTATTATTAGTTGTGATTTATAGTAAATTCAATAAGCTGCAAGAAATAATTCAACAAACTGAATGACTGAATGTCATGACAGTCATTTTGTTTTGTAAAATTATGCAGATTTTCACATATTTCCACTGTTAGCGCTCAGAAAGACACGACACTATGTCAAGTGAGACAAAGCTGAGTACTGACTGGTTAATGATGGGTGTGTATGAGTTCTTGTCTTCCTCGATGATGGACACGATGAGCGTGATGAGTTTAGGCCAAAAGTCCAGGTTCTGGATACTCGGGCCCTGCTCCTCCGGCTGGTTCTCCTCTTTCTTCTCCTCTTCCTCTTCTTCCTCCTCCTCCTCCTCATCTTCTTCTTCTTTCTTTTCTCCTTCTTCTTCTCCTTCAACTTTTTCCTTCTTCTTCTTCTTCTTTTTCTTCTCCGGCTCAGGCTGCAAGAGAGAAAAATAGCAGGAATTCAGTGAAGTTCAAAAAGTTCGACGGCACAGAACAAAAACCAGCAACTCAAGAGTGCCCTGATTAATTTATCACAATATTATTCCTACGCTCTTCTGAAATGATTTATTTAAAGCAGTTCTGCCTCCATGTTTGTGTGATAAGCTTCTGCACATTCCATAAAGCTGAAAAAGAGCTTTTTCCATGATCGCCATGCAAAGTAGCGTTAATTTATACCAGAACCAGCCCGGTTTAATGACTTTAGACACATTAAGACATGAATCTTCTCTTGGCACTGTTAAAAATATTCAGCGTTCTGGAAAAAAAATTCTTGGAGTGATGGAAGCTCAGTTCATTAGTGCATCAATTAAGCCAACGCGCACCATATTTACTGTGATTAATATCGCTATTTGGAGGAGGTGAAGCGGAGATTAAGTTCCTGTTTTTGCTTGATTTAAAAATTCTCAAATGTGTAAGAACTTTGTCAAAACACACTTCAGGAACCCTCGTGCCAATAAATGACTTTCGATAGTTTGCAACACAAGAGCAGAAGTTCCACTAAAAAGGTGGTAAAACTTAAAAATAGAACACAACTTCCCAAATATTGGCATGCCAACAATCTAACTGCTAACATCAGCATGCTATTTCTATATTTATTCAGAGCGTATGATGAATACGTTGGCAGAGGCTCTAAAAACTCCAACAGACTTATTGCTCAGGCTTCACTTTTCCTCATAATATCCAAAGACAAGACAGAGAAACTAGGAGCATGTTGAATAAAAAACTGTGAAATGTCACATCACAGATCTGAATTTGGACAACCAGCTTTCTCCGTAAAGAGCTGTCAACTGTGCAACTCGCTGCTAACCAATATTTTTCACAACAAAAGGTGAAATGCTGGTTAAAGGCAAAGTAAAGCTGCAGCTGTTTGTGTTGGTGCATTTTCCCATTGCTTTTTATTGTACCTTCATGTCTGTGGTGTGTTGTGGTGCAATGAGAATTAAAGTTGTGGATTTTAATTAAAGTGTTTACGGAAAAACCCAACTCGAGAACAAGGGTTGAAAATTAGCCATAGCTGTAAACGCTGTGATGCTCGTCAGCTTTATGTTCAGCGTCATCCATGCCAAATAAAAATAACTTTGTGCAACATTGCCTCTGATTGCTAAAGCTGACTAAAGCCTCATTGCAATATTCAAAATACCGTGTTGTTGCAGGATCAAGTGATGAGCTTCTAAGAGCATCGAAACTGCGGCTTGAGTTTTCCACCAAGCAGAAGTCGCTGCAACTGTTTCACCGTGTGAAATGGTTCTCTGCATCGTGAGCTTTTCTGCAGCAGAATCTGACCTCTATAATTAAATAGGTCAGTTTTCAAATGGAAATTTAAAAATCGGAGGTTGAAAGGCAGCAAATTTTCCTGCTTTGGTTAGGAAAATTAGATGACAGAAGTATTTTTAACATTTTTTTTCTTTTAACAAAACATTCCAGTAATGTGACACAGTGCTGCCCGTTGATGATCATACCCTCAGTCCAGGATGTTATTATGACTATATCCAGGATATTCCAATAAACAGGCTTCAAGATGAGCCCATCAATAAATGTTATTTTCTTTCATCAGAGGGTATACAGAGGATTAGCTTATCATGATTAACTAGCTGAGCAGTTCAGTTATGAGTGACGACATGCTCTGCAACAATCTGACATGCCCTCATTAATGTCAGACAGTGTGAACAACTCAGTGAAGCAGATCTCAGGTGAGCAGGTAACTGACAAACAAACAAACATGTTGCTTCCACGGCTGACCGGGGTGAGATAATCTGTCACACATCACCAACGCTCGGCCCGTGAGCTGTAACAATCGTCCGACCGTGACTAAACGGGCAAATGTTTTTCCTGGAATCAATTTCGGGGAATTTCGTTATGACAGAAAACAGGATTATGACATTATTCTATGACAATAGACAGACAGTTTTACTATAGCCTATATAGGAAATGATTCAGGACTTTGCTATTTTATGATCATAAACGGGATATTCTATACAGCGCTATGACACTAAGTGGACATCACTGTATATCAACAATGGTGGAACATTTGAAATATTCTCAGGATGTTTGGGAGGCGTTGTTGCGGCTGCACATTCCCACAAAACTACGCAATGTTACATGATAAGAGTTGAGAAACTCACCGGCTGGACAGCGGGTTGGAACTGACGGTTGAAGAGCTCCAGACAGTTGTTGAAGATGTACTCGTAGGTGGAGTTCAGACAGGCCTTGACGCAATCCCGAACCACGTTGGCTGCTCTGGGAGGACTCTGCAGCTCCAAGACCTGCACAGCATCAGACAGAGAACATGACAGAAACATGCACAAGCTCAGAGGCAACACAGCAGGTAGATATAAAGATTATCACAACGTTTTCATCAGGTAATCCACAGCATAAACTCTGGCGACAGGCAGCTGTGACTGACTTCATTCCAAATCAGTGCTCCTGTGTCCTTCGCTGTGGAATCAATCTTCCTGTAACAGACCTGAAGTCAACACCAACTCACTCTGAGACACATTAATCAGAGGCTGCAATCAATCCTACAACACTGCAGTCTGTGTTTGCTCTCCAGTTTCTAGCCCAACGAAAAGGACAAAAACCTACAAAAAGCACAAATAACTCTGGGCTCTTTGTGTTGACTTTGAGTGGAGGCTTCAGGTTATGTAATGTAGGTGTGCAGTGATCTTACTCTGGCAATAAATCTAGATTAACGCAGCAAAACACCATTAAAAAGCTTTTAAAAACATCTCCTTTGTAGTAAAATCAATCATGTATCTGATGCTTGGTTACATGACGTTTGGGATGTTATGGGCTGATTTGTTGTTTCTACCTTCATCCTGAAGAACGTGATGCTGGTGAGAAGATCCACTGTGGACTTGAGGTCACTGAGGCGAGGTTTGCTGCTGGCTGGGAAGTTGTTCTGCACATAAACACGAGTACACAGTCAGTTAACCATGTGTGTCTTTGGATAGCAAAGTTTTTGGCTAGTTGAAGGCTATCTTGTCAATCATGGTGGTTGTTTTTCTTTTTTCTTAATGGAAAGTGCAAAATGTGTGAGCTACTACTACAGGTCAAGTGGGCAAGTCATATTTCACCATCAACATCAGGACCTGTGTCACATGTTTTTTGACTCGTAGGTGCTCATTTGCAATGCCGCCATGGATCTCAAACTGGGAAGCAAACATCACATTTTGTGTCATTTAGCATCCGACATGACGCAGCCTTCATGTGGAGGATCATTACTGGTGTTTAGAGGAGGGTCTGCAGCTACCACCAAGAGAAGAAACAGCAGTTTTCACAGCGGAAGAGCCGCAGTTTCCAGAACAAAATAAGATGCATCAGGTCAGGAGCACCAGGAGCATGTTTGTTGTTTCCTTCAACATTTACCTTGTTGTGCAGAGTTCTGCTGTAGCATCCTGAGGCGTCTGAGGGTAAATGTTTGGTGTAAACAAACTGACCTGTGGTGTGATATGGATGCTCTAAAGTGCATGATGAACAGAACAACACAATTGTCACTCTTCATTCAGCCCACTAACAAGAATTGTAAACATTTTTTCCAAGATTTTATTGATGTTTTGAGGCATTTCACTTAATTATCAGACATAATTATATATTTTTTTAAGTTTTACGAATATGTTCAGACGTATTAATATTTATTTGACATCCTAATATTTTCAGACATAATCACTTTTCCTGATAATTTAATCAAATGTTTGGACAGATTGATATTTTTCAGATATTTTATTATTTTCAGACTATTATTAATATTTTCCAAGATTTTATTAGTATTTTGAGGTATTATACATAATTTTCAGACATATATATATCTTGACATATGTTCAGATGTAATAATATTTACTTGACGTCCTATTAACATTTTCTGACATTTTAATTAAGTGTTTGGACATGTAGCTATTTTTCCAATATTATTATTTTTGCACATTTTAATAATATTCTTGAGCATTTATATTTATATATTTCTGACAGTTTATTAATATTTTAGCAAATATCAATATTTACCTGGCGTTTTACTGATATCTACTTTACATTTTCTAATTAATAAAAAGTAAAAAAAAACTAACAAAAGTAGTTCTAAAAAACCTCCAGAATAATAATTTTTAAAAAAGGGAAAATAAATGACATCTGAAAAGAGCAGATTTTATTTTGCAGCATCTGGAGGCAAGTGAATATTTTTTTTAGTTTGAAACAGAGGATAAATTCATAGTTCATGTGTGTTCTTGTTGTGAATGAAGGTGGCGAAGAAAAGAGCGTCTGAAGGGGTTTACTCACTCTGTACATGGAGAGGTCGATGCGCAGGGAGTTGTGCAGCTGATCCAGGAGCTTCACGAAACGATCCCGCTGATGGAAAGAGGGGAAAAAAAAGCAAAGAGATGTTACTCAGAGTCTCGCACTTTGTCAGACAGCGAGGAAGACGTGAGCAATTATTGGCCGGCGTGTGTTTGAAGGCGTCTGAAGATGTGCTTCGTCCAACAGCGGGGAGCAGAGTGAATGTGATGTCTCAGTCAGGATGGAAACCCAACTCTTCAACATGTGCCCAAACATAAAACCAACAGAGCTACAGGAGTGTATTTAAGTCTAGACAGGAGGTTTTATGCTTATTGAGCTTTTTTCTGAAACACTGCAGGTGACAAATAATCTGTTAACTTATAGTCGATTTACTTTGATTAACTGTCCTATTATTTTAATTCAATAACTGATCAGACTTAAACATTGCTTTTCTACCTTTTAAGCACTGCATTTAGTTTTTTTTCTGCACAATATCTGGTACAAGAATTTCATTTATGACGAATAAAGTCTTCACTTATCTTATGAGCGTGGGATATTTTCAAATGTCTGTATTTTAGTACATTTAGACATCATTTTATATACAAATCACAAAAAACTATCTGATGACTATTTCCTGTAAGAGCCTGTACCATTACATCTGTCTTAAACCCACATATCTAAATAATTTTTTCCCCATTAATAAACAAAGATGGATTACTTCTATCATACTCAGAATTTCTAAATAAATTTAAATTACCAATCTCTCCCAAAGAATATGCCATTACCATGGATGCAATTCCCAGTGGAGTAATTCAGTGTTTGAGACATTGTAATCTAGTGGAAAGAAATATAATTCTAGACAGGCAAATTTTTATAGGAGACAATGACATTATAAAGAAACCATGCAGTAATCGACATA